AAGATTTTTATAAAGAGTTAGTAACCGTTAAACCACAAGACTGTTTTCAAATTGAAGTTAAATTAAATGGTTTCATTATTTGAGAAGGCATTTAGTAAAAAGTAATAAAATTTCTTATGTGAATTTAGAAATTATTTCAAGAAACTATATAACCACCATACAAAGAAAAATAACCACAATTTGACTGTATTTGTAACACGGAATCTCTACTTCTTGAGTACAAAAGCTCAATTTAGTAATTTTAAACTTTATTTGATTTAATTAGTTGTTAGAAAAACAGAAAATATTAGTTATTAACTATTAATTGTTTCATAATTATTAAACCAAATATATGTGAGTAAATCTAATTGACCTTATAAGTTGTTTGGTATAATAACTTAAAATAAATATTAAGTGATTTTATTTAATTTAATAAAAATTATTTAAATTATTTATAATAATAATTATTAACCATCAAATCAAATAAAATTACTAGTAATTAATTTTAAAGCATAATACAGAACAGCCATTTGATGTACATAAATTTTTTTTTTAACACTAAATCACTGTTCAAGGGAAAACAAAAAAAAAAAACATTTTAAAAGGAAAATGAAAAAAGAGAAAATAATAAATACAGAGGAGAAAAAAATGGAGTACATTACAAAATCTAGGTAAAAATATCACATCCATGCAGCCTAACGTTCAGTTGACTCCAGCAAAAAATAAAAAATAAAATAAAAAATAAAAAAATAAAAAAAATTTCCATTAAAAAAAAAAAAATCTCAGTATTCACCAAAATCATCTTTCTTTCTCTTCTCCCCCACTCTGCACCTTTCCTCGCTCTTTTCTCCTTTCCCCTTTCCCCTTCTTTACCAAATGCAAAACCCTAAAAAGTTCTGATTTTTTCCCCGACCCATTTTCCCTCTCGCCCGACCCGATCTGGGTCCGATCGCCATTTGAAGTTCCTTTCAGCTGGAAATCCTTGGATTGACGGAGTAAGGAGAGATTGAGGTGAGAATTTAAGAGTGCAGAGAAGAGGAGAGGGGGAGGCGAAATGTATAAGAACCAGCTGCAGGAGCTGGCGCAGAGGAGCTGCTTTAATTTGCCGTCCTATACATGCATTAGGGAAGGTCCGGACCACGCGCCGCGGTTCAAGGCCACGGTCAATTTCAACGGCGAGACGTTTGAGAGTCCTCACTACTGCTCCACCCTCCGCCAGGCCGAGCACTCCGCCGCCGAAGTCGCCCTCAACTCCCTATCTAACCGTGGTCCGTCTCACTCCCTCGCCGCCAGAATCCTCGTAAGTGACGAGATGTTTCCGGAAACTTCTCCATTTCCCACCAAAACTTACTTGTTTTTTCAAATTCTAGGTTTTTGGAATTTTTGCTTGCTTGTTTGTTTTCCGCTTTTCTTCCGGCTCATACTTCGCGAATGTGAGCCTAGTGAGTTCTGCGCTTCTAGTCAGGCTTAAGTAAGGGAAAACTGTGCTATGATGGTGATCGGCTTATCCTGCGCGCCGTTTTAGCCGTAGGGTAGCCATGATCGCCGGTGGTTCATGGTATTCGTGGCCGGCGAGTACCGGAACTGGATTAGGAAGTGAAATAACGGAAACGCCCCTAGCGTCGGCAGTCTTAGGATTTAACAAAGCAGTAGGATTTTATTGACTTTTTTCTGGGTGAATTAATTAATTTCAGTAATTTGGAAATTTCTGTGAAAGAAAGTTGTTAACTTGAAGCTCCAATCCATCTTTTGCTTCCGGTAAACAACTGTTCTCCGGCCGGCCGCTGTGTTGGTGTAAATTAGTTGTCTGGTGAAGGCTATTTCGGTCACATAAAATTGGGAAATTTTCTTTAGGATCAACATTGGCTCCCTGAGAAAACATAGGTAGCAGGGATTGGTATTTTCCTTTTAAAAAAAAAAAACCCTTTTATTAAATTGCATTTTTTCAGGTTTCTAAATCTCCATCTGAATTAATTAATGTTGAATACTAAGCCAGGTTTCTCATGGCGTGGTATACTAACCCAGTTTGATATTGACCATTACTTGAGGTTGTTAGGCATTTAATGTATTTTGAGTCATCATTTTCACCTTCTGTTATTCAATCCTGATTATTTGCTGATTGGATCACTTGAGACTTTGAATGTATGCCATCCATTAATTAATTCGATAAACAATATTGAAAATGTGTCATTGGAGTATCTGCTCCTTGCCTAACTGAAGTTTGAATTTTGAACCTTGTTTGCTTCCATCTTTCGGCTGCAAGATATCTAGTAGTTTTGTCAATTTAGTTGGCTCTTGCACATCTTCAAGGCTAGTGTTGTGCTAATTTCTAAATGTAAATTCATAAAAAATAAACTACGCATTCACTAGAAGGTCGTCATCCATGTCATCCAGCTTGTCTTTCTGCCACCCTCATAATATAAAGTTCTCCTTGAATTTAAAAGAATTAATTGACTGAGCTTCTTTATGATCAGGATGAAACAGGGGTTTACAAAAACCTTCTACAAGAAATTGCACAGAGGGTTGGAGCCCCATTGCCGCAGTACACAACATTCAGATCAGGCCTTGGGCACCTACCTGTTTTTACGGGGGTGGTAGAATTGGCTCGAATCACTTTCACAGGTGAACCTGCTAAAAATAAGAAGCAAGCAGAGAAGAATGCAGCCATGGCAGCTTGGAATTCTTTAAAACAATGTAAGTAAATGGTTTAATTTTCTTTTCTATAAATAGAGCAATGGTAGAATGGAAGGTTTGGTTTTTACCATTGGTAAGATGTTGAAAATCACTTCTTTGTGTCTTCTCCTGACTAAATCATGAGTTTTCAATGCATCTGTTAACAAAGAAATGGGACTACCAACCAAGACATGACTTCTTTGTGATGGAGATGCATGGTATAGACATATTACGTAACTAACTACAAATTCTTCTCTGAAATGGTAACTGAAAATTTCAGTACAAAATTTTATGTCCTTTCTTTCCTGGAAAGAGGAAGGTTATACAATGTACCAGTTACAACTTTGAATTTTCTTGGGAGTCATATGTTAACAGCATTCTTCTGCTGATGTCTGTGATTTTCATTTAGTGTTGGATTTCCTGACTAAGCTAATGGTTTCTCCTCTTTCAGTGGCAAAAGAAGCCGCATGTTCTTCTTCTGAGCCGGACAACAGTGATGAGCTAGAACAGATCACAATAGCACGGGCCTTGCAAAATTACAAAATAAAGGAGATGTCCAGGCCAAACTCTTCTAATGCTCCGATACCATTTACAAAGAAGTTCCAGAGTCTAAGACCAACAAGTCCACAACCTCTGCCGTCTACCACATCAAAAATCCTCCCTTTAATCTTCCCGAAGGCAGCTCCTCGCAACAGATCCCTGTTAACAACAGCAAATGATAAGCTCATGCCACCGGCAGCACAAGCACCTGCATTGGATGGCCGTGGCAGTCGTCCTCAGAGATTCCCTGCAGCAGGAGCAGCTCCTTACGTTCCCATCAGACAGTTCAGGACACCTTGCCATAGTATTGCACCACCTGTGACGATAAGAACTGCAGTACCTGTTTTCTCAGCACCTCCACACCCACCACCGTCTGCAGTTTCCGCTCAACCATCTGCATCTGCACATCCTGCCCAGCAAGCACAGTCTCTGCTTCCATCACAGCCACCACCATCAGCCCTTCCCCCACAGCAGTTACCATCCACATTTCAGCCACCACCATCAGCACTTCCCCCGCAGCAGTCACCACCCACACTTCCACACAAGCTAATTCAAGGACCATGTGTCCGAATTGCTCCACCTGTCACCGTTAGGCAGGTGGTTCCTGTATTTGCTGCCCCACTTGTTGGAAAGGAAAATGTTTTGAATGTTAGAAAAGAAGATGCTCCAACTTCAACTCCTGCCCCTGCTCCACCTGCTAAATCACCTGCTCAAGTAGAGGAAGCTGCGACCACAACTGAAAAGAGTCTGGAAGAATTTGAGACAGTACAGAGCATAGTACAGCTAAAAATCTAATGATAGTTTTCGAGCATTTAATCAAAGGGAACACACGGTTTTGTGTTGTTCTCAAGTTTGTTGTACGCTTGCTGATCATCCCATGAGTCGTTTCATTTTGTAACTTCTGTTTTCTTTGTTTACTCTTCCTTTTTGTTTCTTTAGAAGCTACAATTTCTGCAGGTTAAAGTAGCATTAGTAGTTCCATATCAATGCAATGAAAGAGCAGCTGTGTCATATTAATGTTCTAGAGTGATGTTTCAAGGATGGCTATATTTTTTTAATTTCATTTTATTTTTTATTTTCCCCATATCTCCTTGCTTAAAGGTTGGCTTAGGAACAAAAATTCTAGCTCCAACCTGGGTGCATTATTGCTCCCTTCTCCAAGCCCCTTGACCAAAGATTTAGTTCGACGAGGGGTTTTTTCGGCTTTTAAAAGAGATACATGCAGGTTAAGCTCCAGGAAGCTGGAAAATTGCACATCATTAAAGCTCCAGGACCCAGTGCTTTAGTCACCCAAATGCCATGTCCCTGTCACAAGACTCAGACAGATATGGCAGGCTGAAAGCAGATCAGATTAGCTTTTTCCATGCTCTATGTTGCTCAGGTCATAAACCAGGCCATGTTGTGGAGCCAAACTAGGCCTGTGTAGCTCTTCTGTAGGGCTTCCTACTTCCTCTGTCCTTCAGAAACAATTACTAACAAAAGAACAAAATCTTAACAACCATATATTTCTTAATCAGCTGATTTTATCCAATCTTCCATTGATTTGGAGTTGGAGATCCCTTCCCCTCTGAAAACAACCATTTCAACAGCAACTAGAATTCAAATTATGTTATGAAGTAATGCTTAGTTCAGCATCAGATCATAAATAAAATACAGCTCATCAGTGGAGAATTTAGACAGTGAAGGATTAGAGGTGGAAAGTGGAAACAAAGCACTAACCCATTAGTTGGTCATTAATCAAATCTTGGATAACAGTGAATCCTAAAAGAAGTGGGGCAGCTTGATTCTTTTGAGCTCACAACACTACATCATGGGCCAGTTTCTCCCACCACTTCACATGACTCAATATATGAAAAAACCCTGAAATTAGGTAAAATCTTTCAAATAAACACACATCCATAGACAGTGCCAGTGGGGAGAGGTAAGTTTGGTTTCTTAAGCTTCAAGCTTCAATGCATTTCCCTGCATTTTTCTTGAACACAACCATCTTTTTTTAAAAGGGGAGATAATGACAATTAGGAAGTTTTGTCTCCAAAAAAGAAGTACCTTTCATAGCCAAAGGGACCAAATTGATATGCCAATAAAAAAAGAATGAATGTAAAGGGTTAGCTTAACTACCAAATTGAAGCCCTCCATGTTTCTTTCTATTTCAAACACTTATGTTTACATTGTAATTGGTAGGTAAAAGGGTCACCCTATGAAAAGACTTCTCTTATTGTCCTTTCGGAATTCGGATTATATTCAATTGCTTCAAATTTCAAACTTTTTGTATGCATCATTAATTGCTATAAGCTAAAGGCTTCAAACGTAATCATGATTCATGAAGCAGAAGTCCTAACTTTCTACAAACAGATGAAGCAGCAGAAGAGAGTATATAAACATTATTGACCTTGTGCATGCTTAACACATATATAGTCCCATTTCCATTCATTAACTGTCTTTGGAAACCAAATTTCCGTCCTCAGTCTTCCTATTCCCCCTGCCCTTTTATGGCTAACCTACCAATCAACAAGCAACTTCCTATCCATTTTTCCTTTGGTGAAAAAGGAAAATTAACTGGATATCATTTATTCATTAGAAGACAGATTAGATCAAGTGATAACTAAAGTTCTCTGATTTAGAAAAATTTTGATCAAATGGGTTTCAAATACGGTTCAAGTTTCAGAATGGAAGGGAAAAAGCTACGACATGAGAACATTCAATGCTTGTTTTGAAGCACTGGAATATTGAGAGAAAGGAATCAGGGATGGGGTAACTGTTTGACAAAAGCAGGCAACTGGGGTGCTTAGAATTTCATGAAAATAGATTGATAACAAGTGGTCCAAAATCAAATGGCCAAGAAAAAGGTCCTCATGGGTACAGTCTATTTAATGGCCTCAGCCCTCTGGGGTCCCTCCCCTTTCAGTTAATTCATTTCTCCATTATGTCAAGCTAAACCCTTCACAAAACTTGCCAAACAACACACCCAAAAATCATCTCAAAAAGTTAAAATTTTTGGGGGAAAAACAAAATGGGGTTTCCTCAAATTGGAGTTTTGAAGAATCTACAACAGTGCCCAAGTTTAGGTATTGAAATTTAACTTCACTTCTACTTACACTAGGGAGATAATTTAATCAATGAAGATGTAGTAGTAAGAATGGGAAAAAGAATCAGCAGAATCAAAACCACCAAACGGGACAATGCCTATGGACCATTCTTTTCTTGAGCACCAGCCCTAACCACCAAAGAAGCAGCAGGAGACATCTTTATCCATCTTTGGGTTAAACTTAAAAGCTTCACGGTGAAAAGAACAGAGCATGGGAGAGTGAAATGATGTAAAAAAAGGAAAAGAAGTACCACAATAACAATACAAAAACAATAAGTGTGCCAAGCAAGCAAAGTTGCTGACTTGGCCCCACCTTACCCCATCCAGGTGGGGCCAGATCTCCACTTCAACAACACTAACCTCTCAAAGCAATGCCACGTCATCACTCAATTGATTCACGCAACAAATTGGTTTTTTTTCTTTTTAAAAATATAATTTTGGGGGAGGAGCTGGCCCCAGACAGGATGGGCCCACATGATTGGACTAGATGGGGCCCAAAAGTTGTTAAGGAAGCACTGGCATTATTCCTTTCCTATGAAAAAAGCAATGGCTCATGACAAAAGGAGATGGGCAACCTCTAACCATATAGCTACAAATACAACAACATCAAGGAAAAAAAGCAAGCAAAAACCAAAAGAGAGAAAATTGAGAGGAGGGAGGGGGACAAAGTGGAAGAATGTTAATCCCATCAACTTAAAGTTTAGAAAAGAAAAATATACCCATTTGACTTTGTTATAACTCATCATATATCATTCATTGTACCACATTTATATTATATGTGCATAGGCCAAGCCCATCTTCCTTTTTGAATCTTGATCAAGATCTCCATAAGCTATTGTTAGTCTTTCCTTTTCAAAAAGCAAATCACCCTAAAAAACTCATATATCTTATATAAATTCAATCTTTTACTCTCAATCACATGTATAGATGACATATATAGGGCATGCGTTTGGTTAGGTTAATTTTTTGAACAGTTTCTCCATTGTTAAAGCTGAGGTTGTTTTCCTTATTAACAAAGTTAAAAACTGATAAAAAGAGAAATTGATGTTGTGTGATTTGCATCTTAATCTTCCTTATATCTATCATCACCATAGGAAAAAAAGCCACGTAGCCAACAAAAAAAAAAAGTGAATCATGGACACAAAATTAATGTGTTTTTGTGTACACATGAAGAATATATTCATTATTCGCCCTCTTTATATGTTGTTGAGAGTGAGAAGAGTGTGCCCTAGGTGATGAACAGGCAATAATACCGACAGCACCTCCAATGGAGCATGAAGAGCTTTTCATTGGTGAAAGTCAATTCCTGTTGCTTTTGTTTTGTGCAACAATTTCTACACATGGATTAAAACTATTGGCGTTTGGCATGCTTTTGAGGGAGGAAAGTGGTGTAGGGCAAACAGAAAATCTTCTTTTGAAAATGGGGTTCAAATCTAAGTTACCATTTCAATAGGAATCACTGTTGAGGAAAAGGGTATCATCACTTCACTTGTAGTTTAAGCATACGAAGCTGTTTGGCCTAGTTAGTAGAATCCAAGTTTTCTTTATAAACAATCTGTTCTTTACTTTTAGAAAGAAATTGAGACAAAAAAATTTCCAAATTACTAGAATGAGATCTTAAAATTTCCAAATTACTAGAATGAGATCTTAAAATTTAATAAAATTAGCAACGACCTAAGTAATTTAATGATTATCTTTTTTTATTGAAAGTAAGAACTCCTAAAATTGAGTCGCATGACATGCGAGTGGGGTGAAATAAGATATGAAAGATAATTGTTTCTTATTATGTAACCAATATTAAAAAAATATATATAAAATTTATCAGTTTTGTAAAAATTTACTTTTTACCTTATATTTGTAAATATAACCGATTGTACAAATACTCATGAAACTAATTGCACATATGTACTAAAGATTTGGATACCCATATAGGTTATATATCAAGAAAAAGAACTAACAATGATAATTCTATATGCTATAATATTTTCAGAGAAAACCCCATTTCTAATAAAAGATTTTTGTTTTTGGATAGACAATTGTTTTTGTTCATTTGACTAACACAAACTGTGTTTCTCTGTTACCATATTTTAATTTCCCATTTGCTTTTAGAAAATTCAAAGTCTAGCATGTGCCGACATTCGAGCAAGAAGAATGTGTATAATTACTTGTAACGTTTTACATATGATTATACTTGTTAACTTGAAGTCAACCTTTTACATTAACTTGCAGCGTTTCTCGTACAAGTACATATAGACATGCAAGATTGTTTAAATATCCAAATATCCGTCATCGTCATATATGTATGTACATACATGCATATATATATGGATACATGAGTAAATATTTAATTACATGTAAATTATCTTATTATAAAAAATTTTATTTTATCTTATAACTTTTTTTAGGAACAATATAAATTGTCTCAAATTTTTTTGAAGAAAAAATTAACAATTATTTTAGGATAAAAAAGTTATATTTTTATAAAAATTTTAAACTATTGAATGAAAGGCAAATTTTTTAATATTAGGATTGTTTTTTATTTAATACTTTCTTTATTTATTTTTATTTAATTTAATTTAATTTTTTAAATATAAAATTTAAATAAAAAGTTGACATATTATATAAATAATAGTAAAAAAATTATATATTAAAAATAATTATATATATAATTTAAATTTAAAAAATAAAAAAATTAAAATAAATATATTAAAAGTAATTCAAAGAGTAGTAATTTTTATCTTACCGTTTAAACAGTAAAACAAGCCATTCATCCTTCAATGTTCAAAACAGAAAATCAAGCGACTCAAAAATGAAAAAATCATGAAATCAAAAAGATTAACTTCAAACTGACATGAAGGACAATAATAATTAATTTACTACGTACTGCCTAAAAGTTAGCATGCTTGCTTGCGGTGCAATTTTAGCTGTCCAGAACGGATCAATGTTTCCTATTTATTTATTTAAAGGAAAGACAGTGCTTGTTTAATCTATATAAGAATACGTTTTTGATTAACCATTTGAGTAATTTAATGGTTATTTTTTTTATTTAAAATATAAAATTTTGAATTCAAATCGTATAAAATGTAATTGAAATAAGATAAAAAATATGAGATAATTATTTTTTATTTCATTGTGTAATCAAGATAAAAGAGAAAGTACGTTTCTTTTGAGGCAAAACCATTCCTTAAACCCTCAAACGTATTTCGTTCTAGTATGTATGTTCATATATTTGAAAACAGGCAAATAAACCCTTAAACCATGCAATTGAAGTAAATTAGCCCTTCCTTAGTGACTATTGATAATTTCTGTTAATTTTAGCTGATGACCTGATGTGGCTAATAAAAGAAATTACTATCATTCATTCACATTTATCTAACAATTAAAAGAAAATAAATAATTTTAATTTAGTTGCAAATTTCATTTTATGATCACATTCTAAATTTAGATTAGAGAAAAGTGTTTTACAAGTTGCATTTTTTTAAAAAATTTTTAGAGAGTATGTTTAAAATCTCATATTCTAATTAATATTTTTAAAAATTAACTATTAGATTTAAAATTCTATTCAGATAAACCATGTATACCAATTTTCAAATTATTTTAATAGATACAATCACTTTATTAATTATAAAAAATTTAACACTGTTAAATATATGTTAGTAAATAAAGGTTTTTTAATAAAAGATTATATGTATTAGATTAATATAAAAATTAACATATATAATTTATATAAATAAAATTTTCAATTAAACGATCAATTTTAAAAATATAAATTAAAAAAAGAGTTTTTAAACAAGTAATTCAAAAAAATTTTAAAAGAACGACTTATTCTACACTATCCTCTTAAGATCAGGCATTCTTTTTAGTTGTCACATTAGTTGATCTTAACAAAGTGTTAATTTGCTACAATTTACACTATTCAAGAGCTTATTTGCTTGTCTTTAAGTTCAAGGGGATATAAACTAAAATGGGATAAGTTGAAGGGCTTATGAAAATGGTTTTGCCTTCTTTTAAGGACAAAAAAAAAATCTGCTCAATTTTTATTTCATAACAAAAAAAAAGTTTATTTTGAGAATTTTTTTTTTTTGGGGAAATTTGTGTTGTAGTGTTCTGTAGCTTTGTGGGCAGCACGTGGGACTACTTTTCACGCATGCCTAAAAGCAGGTAAAAAAATTGCCTCATCACAGAGGAACCAACATTCAAATGTGTATACCGTCACCTTCAAAACCAAGTCAATTAATTTCATCATTACTAGGAGTACCTTTTATAGTGACAAAAAATCTTTGTCATTTTTTTACTCTTTTTTTTTTTCTCTTCATTCATTTTATAAGTTACAAATCAAATCCTTTTCTCCAGTTTTATACTCAAGCATTGGGCTATTTCTAGGGGAAGCATTGAGCTATTTCTAGGGGGTGCCTTGACTTCAACTACATAAATTTGTAACTCAAATTTTATGTTGAACATTTACATGAAAAGTCCTCCATAGTTTGGGCTCAAAGGGTAAAGAATAATGAGAACGTGCTTGTGCCATAATGGCTGTCTCCCCATTGTAAAGAATTTCCTATTGTAAACTTGTAAACTTGGTACGTGTGGGGTTTGAATTCCATCTCAACGTTTAAAAAAACAAAAAAAGAGTAAAGAGTAGGGAGAGTTTTGATGTGTAATAGGGTTCAAGTAATATCTTTATTTGAATGTTAAAATTGTTTACATATCATATTTATTATTTATAGGTATAGATTTGCTCAATATTTATAAATAAGATAATTTATATATATCTGTAAAATTAGTCGAGCTAGATATTTGAGGATGAATACATTGATCATGATTTAATTTAAGATTAGCAAGAGGACTTATTTATAATTAACAAAACTTTAGGTTGATTGATAGACCAAAAGAAATTCTATGCACCGTAGGAGGGTCGAAATGAATAAAAATAAAACTACAAGGGGGGAAATGGACGCTTTTATTTTCACGCGCATTTTCGCTTTAAATAATGGTTGGTCCGGAATTAAGAAACACATTCTTGACAAGCACCGGTCCCTCCATTTTCTGAGATTTTAATTAATTTACAATTTGCTCTTCCCCTTCCACTACATTCTCGAGACTGCCACTTCTAATTCTTCCACAACTACTATTATTTTTCTAATTTTCAGAAGCTTGGGATTTTAATTTTATTCTTTTGTACACAGGAATTTTAGTTTACATTTAATAACTTAAAATTTAAAACTTTTTCTTATCTGGGTTGCACAATTAAAGGCGATCATCTCTCATTCTGTACTCAATTTCACTCAAATACCATGCGATTCAAATTCAAAATCGCTTATTTTTAACAGAAGAATTTACATTTAATAACTTAAAACTAAATTTTATTTTTAAATCTTGGTTGCATAACTAAAGATAATCATCTCACATCTTTTATTTCACTTCATTCGCATATTATGCGATTTGAATTCAAAATCTCTTATTTTCAATAGAAGGATATCCCTACTTAATTGTTTAAGTTCTTGGTAAATTTTAAAACTTTTAAATACTTGAAACATTCATTTGGGGTTTTTAACTTTGTTTTCTTTCTTTATTCTAGTCCAAGAATATTCTTTTATTTTGGCTATCGCAGTTTAGAGAAATGGAAGAAAATAAAAAAAAAATATTGGTTATTTTTACTATAGATTATGGAGTATATATCATTGAATCTTGAAATTTGTAAACATTTTCCTTGGAATATTTCAAACCCAAATTTCAGGGTGAACTCAAAGGTTGAAGATGGGTTGACTGATCAAGCACTTTTAAGCCCAACCACAGACACAAGCCTGTCTATTTAATTTTGTTCAAATCAAAAGCCAGAAAAGATGGCTTAACTCTTGTACCTGCTTGACTCATCAAGTTGATTCTCCTAAAAACAAAAAAAAAAAAAAAAACCCACGTATGAGGGTTTTTCTAGAAGCTCCTATCCTATCCAAACATGCTCCCCATGATAAAACTAACATAATTAATAAGAATCCCATGTCCAAATCAAGTTTTTAAAAACAGAGCTATGAAGGATCTTAAAAGAAGAAAGTAAAACTGTAAAGGGGGGAGGGGGGTAATTTTGATGAAGAAACAGAAGAATTCCATCTGATCCCATGTGCAAGTTGGTGTAAGCAAGTCCATTCTAAAAGATGAGAAATGTTTTTTTTTTTTAAACATTGAGAGTTAGCTAATTTTTATAGCAAAGAGTAACAATTCGGTTAAATTGTTTTTAATCAAACTAAAATGAGTTAAATTTTGGTACTTGATATATATAGTTAAACATGGATAGCCAATATTAACCCATGTTGAGAACCCAAGTCTATTGTCACAACTGAGAAAACATAACCATAAAAAGAAAAGAAAAAAAAAAAAGAAAAAAAAAGGAGCTAAATGAGAGGATAATTTTGGTAAGAAAACAGGGGAATTTCAACTGCCCCTATGGACTAATCACAATTTTAAGTAAAACCAAATCAGGAAAAAGAATAGAGGAATGTACCAAAAAAAAAAAGAATAAAGGAAGAGGCAGATTGGTTAAATTTTGTTATTTGAACCTGTTAAGATCTTAGTTTTCAACTGTAAATGTTGTGATTTATGAAGTGAAGGATTATCGTACCAAAATGGTTATTGTCATGCAGTTATTTATTAAAATTATATAAAATATTTGGTAAAAAAATATATAACCTATTTTATGTTTATTAATTAATAAAAAAATACATATTACTTTTGATTTTTAAAATAAAAATTTATGAAAAGCATAAGTTATATGTAATAAATGTATTTTTTATAATT